GCCTGCATTACCATGTTAAATAATTACAACTGCTATGGATGCCATTACCAATGCACCCACAAAAGCCAAAGCAAGTTGTTCTTCCTCTCCCTGCCACAACCCATTTCACACCCAAAAACTTTGTACCGGAAATAGCACTGCCAATAACACAGTGATAAGTGAAAAAGTTATCTCACGTGTCATTGCGTTATTGATCGGGAATAGCAAAAAGTGATATTCCTGTTCCATGAAAGTTTTTCTCATTGCCCACCGACCTACCACTCCATCAACCTACAGTAAATTAATGCCAGTATAGCTCTCAGCTCTCAACTCTCAACTCTGTAACCAAATTGTGTAAATTAACTGGTGTCCAGACCCTTTTGGAAAGAAAACTTTATGAAAATTACCGATAAGAAAGTCAAGAAGAAAAAAAAAAAACTTCTAAATATTCTCTTGAGAAATGAAGTTTTGCCAAATTTTTTGTCCATCCATAAAAATTAGGGATTGAAGAGTCGAATTCCAATAGTAGATCATGTGAAGAAAAATATTATTGAAATCATATCGACTGAGCATAAGATTTAGGCTGCACAAACTTCCATAAACTTGTTTGTGTCTTTCTCATTAGTCTTTTAAGTAGTTACTTAGCAGTAAAGTGTTGGCATAATGGCATCCAGAATCCCACTATTCACACAGATAGCCCATATATTTGACCACAATAAGACACTTTTCCACATTAAAGTACAAGATAGCACAACAAGGTGAAGAAGAAGGAGAAAAGTTGACAAGGGTAATATTGGAATTTGAAAAAAGTTCAATTCATAGGGAAGCATAAAATGGAGCCTCTGCCTGGTTGGTTTCTGTTTCATTCATTCACGAAGAAGAAACCAAAAAGCATAAATAAAAGAGAAAAAGGGGAAAAAGGCTGCAAACCCCATTGTTTTTACTTTAAGCTTTTTGGTCTGAAAGGAAGAAGATGAAATCAAAAGAGGGAGATGATGACGTTGGCCAGGCACGCCAACACAACACGCCCCGTTTTAGCCCAAGCTGAGATGAGGACCCAACGAGCAACAAAATCCCAGAGAGACACTGCCAAAACAAACTATAGTAATAGAATCAATAACAGTTTTATTTTATTTTTTCTGTCAGAGGCTCTCTTACATATTTGTCTCTCTCAAGTGAGCCCTGGCCTGAGGGCTTTGTTGGGAATGAATTCTTCAAAGCATTTTCTGGCCCTACGTGGCAGTCATCGGTGAGGTCCCACGTGAGCTGGATGGATCGTGTATGTTTATTTGATGTTTGAAATTCTTTATGGACTGACAAAATATTAAGGAATGTTACTATTGAAACCAAGAAAAATGAAGAACCAAACATCTAATCCAATGAAAGAAAATTGGAGAATTCATGGTTTGGGGGTCAACTCGTGAGTAACGAATCAATGAAGGCATGGTTTCTTCTTTTCTTTTTTCTTTTCTTTTTTTACTGAAATTAAGACATTAGAAAAGTCTCCTAAATGTGGCATGGGTTTTTTTTCATTAGAGAAAATATATGTATTAAATCTTTGTAATTAAGTTAGAGCGAATCCAATGATTTAACAGTTATGACTAAGTTCACACTAAATTATGGATCCGTACTGTTGAAAAATCCAACTATATGCATCTTTTTGCATAAGTAACTAATGACATGCTTACTTATCAGTAATGGGTATGAGAAGAAAGAAAATGATTCTAATTCTCAACTTCCCCATGTTTACTAATACATAATGAATTAAAAAACATGTGGATCCCACTTTAAAATTCATAATCACATACTTTCAAAATTAGGAATTAGATTAACTAGCAGGGTTATTCTCATTCATGTGTTGATTTCATATGGTTAATAAACAACTTAATGGGAATGACTTCTTCTCATACCAATTCTTTACTTTCCCTATTCCTAAATTCCATGATTTCTTACTTCACTCATTCCTGATAAGTAAACATGCCGTTAAAAACGTCTCGAATGTTAATTGACTAATAATTTATATGAAGTCGAATGACACATCATATACACTCGTCATCAAAGCTCTATCAAAACTGAAATCCTGAAAAACAAATTCTCTCCCAAGCTTAGTCCATGGTAATACATCATTGACATCTTCACAAGCATCCAAAAATTATTAAACAAAGATGAAAGGTAATGCAAACGAGATACAAAAACCAAGTCTCGAATATTTGAAAGATGGATAGGCAAATTAAGGGAAAGTATCCTCAATAAAAATCTTTTTTTTTTTTTTTTCTTTCTTTCTGTTAGTTATTCGGAAAACTAAGGCAAGTTGGAAGAATGAAAAACAAACAGAAAGGCAAAAGAGGCAAAGGACGTTGAATTCAAAGAGGCCCTACTTTTGGTACTGGCATTGAAATTCCTTGTGTTCATGCAGCAAGCACGAGCAGAACAGGAGGAGCCTGATCATCAGAAACCATGGGACCCAAGATTACTGGAAGAATATCATTCTTTGCAGGAAGGCTGAACCCAGCCAAACCCCTAAAATCACCCACCATATATACCATCTGATCATTCTTCGAGTCCCTTTTCTTTTCTTTTTTATTTTGTTTTTTAATGTATGGAATGAGCTGATTCAATTCAATCATGGATTGTTGGAGGTGGCAATATTTTTACTGTAAAGTTATATACAACCATGTTTTTTTTAAAAAAAAAAAAAAATTTATGAGATAGGGGGATAAAATCCGAAAAAAAAAAACGACAACTAACTAATACAGATACAATCATGATTCTTTGAGGTTTAGCAAATTAAGCCATAAACAAAGTCTCTTTTATTTTCCTTCGAAGAGTCATTTGTCACATTATTTTTTTAGTATAACAAATTTTCGTTCATAAAATTTGAACTCACGATTATCTATCTCCCAACAAAGTAAAGACAAAAAAAATACCATGCTGGTCAAGTTGTGGATTTTGTGTGTTTCTGTTTCCCCTTGGCGGGGTTTTTTTCACTGTAAAAAGTGTTGAACAGAAGCACGAAACTGAAATCTGAAATCTGACATCTGAAATCTGAATCTGATCAGATTATAATTGAGAAATACAGAAACACGAGGGCAATGGTCCATATATATATATATAATATATATGGGCCATATATATTATATATATATATATGGTCCATATAGTAGATGTGGAAGGTCCGACTGCCCATGATTCATCATCTTCACCATTCATTCACTGATAGCAGCAGCTTAATTATGCATCTAATCGCAGGTTCCTCCTCATCACCTCAGTCTCTCTATCTCCTTGCATTGCAATTTGCATGCATTTTGTTAATGGTCCATCTCATTTAATTCTCCAGATGGATACAGTTCACTGGCTCTACCTTGGGTCCTCTATGCTCCAAATGCCAGCCCACCCCTCTTTGTTCAATTGTTCTCACACTTATTATGCAATTTTATTTTATTTTATTTTAACACAACTTCTTTTTCTTATTATTGATATACATAATGATTGTTTTCACTTTTGCAATTGTTCATGCCTGTGCAATTTGAAGTTCAGTGGAAAAAGAGTCTTGATTTACAAGCAGGTGGTCTCAGGCTCAAACTCTCATGACACCTTCTTACTTTGGTAGTGCATTGGTGAGAACCTCATGACCTTCCAATCTTTTTATGTCTTATCATAAATAAATAAAATGTCTTTCCCAATTATTTTTGCATTTTGTCCACTTTTTTGGATTTTTTATACAAGCGATATCATAGGGAGAGAGAGATTCTGACGTAGAATCTCGGGTGCACGGATAAATACTCTTAACTTCTTGAACTACAAATCTCTTATTTTTGTTTTTAAATTTATAAGTTGTCAATCTACAACTCGCATAGGAGTTTTAATATCTAAAATATTTCTCTTAATTGTTTTCATAAAATAGCACCACACCATCAAGAGTTTCAAGGAATGTTCGAATTATGATTAAACTCTTAAAGAAAATAAAATTCCACTTTTAAGTTTTCTTGTTTTTAATAACAGGACGTGAACATTTATTTATTTCTTAGATAAAACAGAAACCTGCCATTTCCCAAGTTCCCAACGACAATGAAATATTAAAGTCTGTCTTCCAATTCATTTTTACCCCCAACCAACCCAAAAAATAAAAGAAAAACAAATTGTGTCTTCCGCTCGGGTCGGAGAGAGAAACATTGTACAATGTACAAACAAATCGAGCCGTATGATTTTAATCAAATGTCGTACCGGAAAACGGTAAACACGCTGATTTGCAGCGCGTGTTTCATAGCTCTCTCTGCACCTTGTCACACGATACATACCGACCCAAATCACAGAATGTTATTTATCAAATGTATTCTTGAAAAGCCTCAAACTTAGGAAGACTGTGTGTTATCGGGTAAACGAGATACTGAAATGCCCTTATACTTGACACACCTGCAACTTTATAATACTATGTATTTATGATGTTTAGTATTTTAGTATCAAAATAGGTTTAAAAACCAGGAAGCGAGGCCTCGCTTGTCAAAGACGGGGATGACGATGAGAATATCAAACCCAATATCGCATTAGTTTGCAAGTGATTAAGATAAGTTATTCCTGCACTTGAAGTCATATGTTCAAATTCCCTCCACTATCGCTTGTATTAAAAAAAAAAAACACACACTTTCATTTCACTATTGCCACCCATAGTTCAATTTAATTTAAGTTTTATTTTAAAAAAAAGTTAAAGATTGTGACATTTTTAGTAACCCATTAAAGTTCATGCATCAAGATACTCACTATCCTAAGTACACTTGGCACATGTTTAGATTACATCCCACAAACATTTTTAATGTTATAGAATATTTGGATCCTTACACCTAAAATTCTTCCAAATTTGTAATTTTTCTTAAAAATATTCGTCTCTGTGTCTCTTATCTCTCTCGTTTTATTTTTTCATACAAAAATTCTACTGACCATTATTTTAATTTTATTCTACTAAAATCCAATCCTCTCAATACGGCCGCTTGCTTTGTGTCTTTCTCTCTATAAAGCTGGCAACCTTCCCATTCACTCTCTCTCTCCCTCTCTCCCTCTCTCTTATTCTCAACACTGAGCACCTCTTTGTAAACTGGTTCACTTACCGCCGTTTCATTTACCATCCGCTCAAATGGACCCGGTTCAGGCCGCCATGTTCCGGCCACCGGAAACTCCTCGCGAGCCCATGGAGTTTCTCTCGCGCTCCTGGAGCGTCTCAGCTCAAGAAGTATCCAAAGCCTTATCTCCTTCCCCTGGCCAAGGCCAAGGCCCACTCGCAAAGCTCAACCTCAGCTCTGCTGTTAATGGCGGTGGTGGGCCCATACCTGAGGACTTGGCCGGAGAGTTAGACGAGAGTGCTAGTTTTTCGGGGAACCCATTTTCGTTTGCTTCCTCTGAGACCTCTCAGCTTGTAATGGAGCGTATTATGTCACAATCTGTAAGTTGGGTTGAGCAGAGCTGGGAGTTTTGGCTTGGCATGTGTGGACAAATTGTGGGATTTTTTTTGGTTTGGTCTTGTTTTCTTGAAATCGATTGTGATTTTTAGTTTTCTTTTTTCTCTTTGTTGTGTTTCTGGTGTTGTTTTTTAGCTCTCTCTGTCCCTGTTTTGTTTGGCTCTTTCTTCTGTCATTGTATTTGGGTTCGGTGGGTGGATGCTTTATGCCTCATTCGTCTGTGCCTCTCTTTTCTTGTTTTGGTGGCAAATTGACATTTTGTTTTGGGTTAAACTTTCCATTTCCGGATCTTCTTCTTCTTCTTCATCTTACTCTTCTAAAATAGAAACCAACCACATTAATTCACTATTTTATGTTACTGGTTTTACAGCAAGAGGTATCTCCACGCACCTCAGGTCGGCTCTCACACAGCAGCGGCCCTCTCAACGGTTCCTTAACCGACAGCCCACCTGTCTCTCCCTCTGAAATTGACGATGTCAAGGTTTGTAGGCTCTGTTTGCTATTTATTTACTTTTTTTTAAATATTTGCCGGCGACCACCGTACACGGTTGCCGGAATATGTTAACAACCACATGACAAGTACAAAAGTATGATATCTGGGTTTAAAGCACGAGTACTGTGTCGTCCCTGACTCACTCTGAACCGGTCGAACGTAGTCCCCAGCTTTCCCACTAACCAACGCCCCTTTAATTATAAACCTACCAAATCCATGTTGTTTCGCTCTTTTCAATGCAAAAGTTAAAAGCTTTGGCCCTCTGCTTCAGCTAATTAGAAAACCCATTTCATAAATCTGCGAATTTTTAGTGTTCTTCACCCAAAGTAATTGGATTTGTTCTAACTTCGACATTTACAGAAACAGTCTTGGTTTTCTGTCTATTTACAGAGCTAACCGGGCATCATGATTCATTTTGGTCCCCCACAAATGAATTGGTTTACTTTGCCCACACGGTGGTTGTGACCCAAAATCTGTCTCTGTATTTAATTTAAGAACCGACAGTGCCACTTTCTCGAGATCCAGTGTGAAGAAACCTATGGCTTCTTCTCGCTCAGCTTTCGTTAGATGAGTTATGGACCCCAAGAAGCTGAAGTGGGTGTGTGATTGGTGCCGTACACTCGTTACTTCTGTATTTGGGTGGTTTAACATTACGTTCATACATATCCAATTGAGGACTTTCCCGCAATGAACCAAAAATCAAATTTTTGACGTTCCCTTTTATCTCCATGCAGTATGGCCGCTCAAACAACCACCACAATACCGGGTTTAGAGCCACCGGTGCTGGCGGCACCGCCACGTCCGGTGGTGGAAAGACGGTGGGTAGGTGGCTTAAGGATAGGAGGGAGAAGAAGAAAGAGGAGACCAGGGCCCACAATGCCCAGCTCCATGCTGCTGTTTCTGTTGCTGGGGTGGCTTCTGCCATAGCCGCCATTGCTGCTGCCACTGCCGCCTCATCTGGGTCCGGTAAAGATGAGCATATGGCCAAGACTGACATGGCCGTGGCCTCTGCTGCCACATTGGTTGCTGCACAGTGTGTGGAGGCGGCTGAGGCCATGGGGGCTGAGCGAGAACACCTTGCTACAGTGGTCAGCTCTGCCGTGAATGTCCGATCTGCTGGCGATATCATGACATTAACGGCTGCCGCAGCAACAGGTATATAATGTAGATTTGGTTTACTGTTATGGGTAAATTTGGAATTGAAGTTTTCGGTTTTTTTTCTTTGTGTTATGGACTCTAATGCCCTTGAGGTTTGTGGTGTGGATTGCAGCTTTACGTGGTGCAGCAACATTGAAGGCAAGGGCATTGAAGGAAGTGTGGAATATAGCAGCAGTTATTCCTGTCGAGAAAGGGGTAGGAGTAGGTGGTAATGGTAGTAACGGTAATTCCAACAGTAGTTTCAGTGGAGAACTTGTTCCTGAAGAGAATTTTCTGGGCGTCTGCAGTAGAGAATTACTTGCTAAGGGTTGTGAGATCCTCAAGCGCACCCGCAAAGGTAAACTTTTGTTCGTTTGATTTGAAATCATTGCAATTATTTACCTTTCTCTATTAGAATTGTGCTTAAATTACTGTATGGGGAGCTAGCGAGGGAAAAATTACTGTATGGGGGCATGGTTATGTGGGTGGAAGATGGAAAAATTGCTTCCATCTTCGATGAACTAGGTCGAAATCATTACAATTATTTACGTTTGACGATACTTTTGTCCCTTTTTCACTTTGGATTGTGCTTAAATTACTGTATGGGGAGCTAGCGAGGGAAATTTGAATTTACTTGGAGGTTTTGATTGATGATTTCTGGTTGTTACATCCAATTCTAAACTGTTATAACTTTGTTCTGCTGAATGCCAGGTGATCTTCATTGGAAAATTGTCTCTGTTTATATCAATAGGACGGGTCAGGTAAAGTTCCTAGCTTATCTATTGATTTATTTTATTTTTCTTTAACGTAGGGCCAATAATTTGGGCATCAGTAGAACTTTTGGTCATGAATGTGAACTTCATGGAAAAAAGGTACTCACAGCAAAAGAGACTGCTATGATGAAAGAATTGGATCTGCCTTCTCCTTTCTCTTTTTACGCTTTCTTTATTTAGTCTGGAACTTCTTTTTGTGCAGGTTATGCTGAAGATGAAGAGCAGGCATGTTGCTGGGACCATCACAAAAAAGAAAAAGAGTAAGTGACTACTTTTGTCTTTCACTAATAATTTGAGCAGAATGGAGGTGGCGGGGTCTTCTTCCATCTGGGGATTTGCAAAAGCTAGCAGTCTAGTGGGAAAAGATCAAAAGGATTCTTCTTTAATTCCATCTTCTTTTGAATTTACAGATGTGGTGCTGGAGGTGATTAAAGATATGCCGGCTTGGCCTGGTCGCCACTTGCTCGAGGGCGGTGAGCACCGGCGTTACTTTGGACTGAAAACAGTTATGCGTGGAGTTGTAGAATTCGAATGCCGGAGCCAGAGAGAGTATGATATTTGGACTCTCGGCGTCTCAAGGCTCCTCTCCATTGCTGCAGAAAGGCACAATAGACATAGGGTTTGAATTGTGTTCTCCAACAATATCAGAGGGAAAACATTTGGCAGATGGGGGAATTGGCAATAGGATATATGGCCAGCTGAAAATTTACATGATGGGTGGGTATTTTGGTACTTGGCTGTTGCTGTTAGTTTGTCTTGCTATTGTAAAAAGGATAAATTAAAGGTTATAACTTATCCCAATTGCACTCTTTAGTATTGTGGAATATATATATATATATATATATATATATTTTGGACCTTTGTCTTTCAATTTTAATGGAAAGGAAAAGAGATTGGAATGAGAGGTAGCAAGACCGTGTGATCCTAGCTAGTCCCTGTTTTTGCACTGTTTAGGAAAGAAAAGGAGGATCTTGGACTGAGGCAGTCAAAAAAGAATAGAAAAGAATCTCAATTGAGTAAAGAACAAGATACAAGATGCCCTCTTGATTTTTATGTTTTTGTTTATTCATGTGGGTTTTGCTTTTGACCTTTGTCGTTGAGTTTTTGGATTTAGTTTAAGGTTTTCAAGGTTGTGAATTGTCTTGCTCTTGGTCTGTAATCTTCCCACTTGATAAATTAGTTTTTTGTTTTGTTTAAGTGAATGGTGGGTGGAAGGCTTAAGAAATATTTAATTAGCTGGGAGGAGAATATGAGGCTGTTTGTCAGAGAATGTGCCAAATAAATTAGTGGTAAAAATGATTGCCTCCTTGCAAACTTGGGTCTAGAAGAAGTAAACAACTTCTCATGACCCACTACATGTTTATATTTCAAAATCATCCGAGGGAGAGTTTTTTTTTTCCTAAGAGAACCTCGAGGGCACGATGGATCTGAGGGAGAATTTCTATGGTGGGATTATTCAAGCAATAATATAATATAAAATAAAATAAAATAAAAAAAGAGAAAAGAAGAATGAGCATGTGGTTTTCTATGACAGCAACAGAATAATTGAAAACAAAATAAGTTCACAATTTTGTAGTCAAAGTTAGAGTCCCTTGTGCTAGTTTGTAGATGGTGCTTAAATTGAACTGGATTGAATATGACAAAAGAAAGAAAACGTTATGAACAAGGCAAATGGGCCTTGCAGAGAAAGATGATTGAGAATACACTAAGCACCCAATTTCCAAGTTCAAGCATGTTCCTCTCCAAGTTATAAAATTGATTGAGAAACAAGAAAGAAAAAAAACGTGATATAGAATGGAATGGGACACCAAAAGAAAACAAGTCACATTGATATTGGGCTTGTTTACGTGCTCCAATGAAACAATGGCAAAACTAAGTGAAGGCAGAACATGTCATACCAACTCTCATCAATTCTCAAGCATCGCCTAATTTTGGTTCATGAATAAACCTTCTGCGTGTCTTACGAATCAGCAACTCTGGCACCAACTACCTCTTTCTCAGCTAGTTTAGTGGTACTTTCTTTTTCAATATTAGAAGATATTCCGAGTTTAAAAATAAATATTGGAATGTCTTTCTTGAAAAGCAAGTAATCGAAACAAGCTGAATACAATTAATCTAGTTGTACATGAAGCTATAGTTGTGAAAATTGGGGTGAATATACAGTTCATACAAGAAACCATCATAGAATTTTTTTTATCTTCATAATAGTGGTGAGATGAGAAAATGGGGTCTCTGCTCTTAATCTCTAGGGGTTAGCGAGCGAGTGTTGGTTAATTTACCTACCGCCGCTAATTAAAGAGAGAAGGAAGAGGAAGAGTTGGACAACATCAATATATATGGAGAGAGCACCGAATATGTACTCATCGTAGCTCAGCCGCTTTATCAGATTGTCTGTGTCGTACACAATATAAGCACAACATAGAAGAGCCCCCAATGCAGAATATACCATCCTTGACAAAGGCCCCAAGGGAAAAAATATCTGCATGTTCATTCCAAAAATGCGCAACAAAGTTAAGATAAATGGATTGGCGGAAAGGAGAAATTCTTGAGTACAACTGTTGTACGTGGACATCAAGTCGGGCTAGTAAGTTTTTTTGTTTGTCTCTTTCTTACAAAAAACTAGGCATCATGACCTGTGACTAGTTTATGTAAGAGCGATTTTGTATAACCGTTGAATGCATCATGACCTGTGACTTGTGATTTAGCAATGGCACAAGGAAAATGGAAATTAAGTAGAGTTGGGTTACCTGGATGAGGCCAAACATCATAAGCATGAGGGTTGCAGCAAACAAAAATGGGCCAAGGAAGCTGAAATCCTGGCCTCTCTTGACTGCCCAGAATGTGTATATGGTTAGGCTCACAACCACCGTAGCCGTCAAAATCACAGCTAGAAGAATACTTTTCCCTGTAGGCACGAAATTATGCATATTCCAAATTACTACACAACTCAAAAGAAAACCAAGAATTCTATTGAGTGGGGTGGCTAGTTAGATTTCCATTGCGAGAAAAATACAAGGGAAAAAGTATAATCAAATTGTGCCCGTCAACTCATGAAGTGAATTCTTATTTGTGCATATGGCACGACAGATTAATAGCATAACAACATAACATGTTACATAAAAATTATTTTCAGCATAACATATATATAAATAAGTACCTGGTCTAAAGGAACAGCAGAATCCCACCGTAATCGAAAGTAAAATCGTAAACAGAATAAGAAGCACATAATTCACCGGATGCTTCTTGTGGTAATAGTACAAGGCAATCGTAACTGCACAAATTAAAATTAAAGAAAGTGATAAAAAGGAGATAGAAAATTGATTAGATCAAAAGTAATTTGGATTACCAGCTATGGCAGCGACAAAAATGCAAATGAAAGTGATGGTGCCGGCCAAGGATCTGACGAAGTTGGGAATGGCGGGGATCGAAACGACGGCGTAGGAAATGCCAATGGTGAGAAGCAACTGAAAGGCGACGATCATGTAGACCTTGCGGATGAAAGCCCATCGGAGCTGAGGGGTCTCCATCTGGTTCGGGTACAATTGTTGCTCCCCATTTTGACCTCTGCCTGCCTCCAAGTCACGACCCTTCATGAACTTTAGCGCCATTGCTAAATCACACTTCACAGAAAAATAATTTTTTTAAAAAAAGGTGAGACAGACAAGATGATTTAGAAAATTTTGAAGAATATCAAATCGAAAAGGTTACGTCGATCGCGAAAGATGCAATGTAATTTTTTTTTCCTTTTTTGTGGGTTTTGTTTGAAAGGGGAGAAAGCGTGGGAACGTGAGGAAAAGTAGGAGGGGGGTTTGGAGAGTCTTCAAAACAGGGTGTACGGTTTAGGCTTTAAAGATGGTTATTTATAGGGTGGGTTTATAAGAATTTAAAATTTTAAAAAAACTTAAGTGGTGTATCCAACCCAAGAAAGTAATATCCCACCTTAACCCCACAATATATATGAGCCCAACGGACCAAATTCATGGGGCCTGTATTGACTGTGAGCATAAGCTTCTATAATGAGGAGTTTCGAGTGAGGAGATTATTTGAGGGGTTGAATCCTACCATCAAATTATTTAAAAAATTTAAGTCTATTGATTTCCTCATATTTGTTGAAGGTGAGATTGAACCCCTCAACTAAGCTCCTCACTCTAAACTCTTTATTATAGCCTTTATGTGAGCTTCGTCAAATGTAAGATGAGGTTATAAATTACTACCCTCCATTTTATGGAATACTAAAAAAAAAAAAAATATTTTGGTACTTAAACTAATTTAATATATTTGAATATTTACTCTTAAGTATATTTGAAAATATTTAAAGCGTATAGCCGATCGGCTATATTTTTTAAAACGTATAGCCGCATACCCTTTTAATATTTACGAATATTTTAACGGTAAAGCCGGGCGGCTATATGTGTTAAATATATTCGAATATTTAAACGGTATAGCCGAGCGGCTATACGTTAATATTTCAAGAGTATATCCGAGCGCCTATACTCTTCAAAAATATACAAATATTTTAAACATATAGCCGCGCGGCTATACCTTTAAAATTAAAATACATTTAAGAGTAAATATTCAAATATATTAAATTAGTTTAAGTACCAAAAACATTTTAAATTTTTTTTGTCTAAAAATATTTAGTGCAACTAAACTATTGTTTTGTTAAAAAAAACAAAATACCTTCAGTCGATTTTACAATGCATAAAACATGTCGTTTTGTCCACTGATCCTTACGACATGTTAAAATGGGACAAATAGTGTCGCTGGATTTCCTCAAGTGATTTGTTCTAATCTTCGCCGTTGGTTGGAACTTGAATCCAACGGTCAAGATGCCCAACAGAGAAACCCCACCTGTTTATGAACCTCTGGCTCTGAGTTCAGGCGCCAAACCAGAACCATTAACAAACTCTAAACAGTCGATTTTCCCCATTACACCACACAGTTCTATCTCCACCTTCTGAGAATCTAAAATCCAGTTTCTTACTGATCTTTTTCTAGGGTTAATAGTTTTCTTGGTCAGAATTATCATGGAAAACGAGAACATTTCTGATCTGAGAGAAGAAAGTGGAGTCACGAATCAAGATTCTCAAAGTCTTGATCTTGAAGCTGTTCAAGCGACATCAGAAATGAACAAATCCACAATGGAAGATAAGCATAAGGGCAGTGGATCGATCTTGACTGAAGAAATTATGGGTCATGACCAGCGTACTGGTTTGGTGGTTGAGAAAGAAGAAAGCCCAAAAATGAGTGGGGTTTTGCTGGGTAAGACTGAAGGGTTGAAAAGCGAAGAAGAAGAAGAGGCTGTGAAAACAAAGTTCTTGAATGAAAAATTGGTGGGTTGCGATGAGATTGTGGGTTTTAGAACTGGGTCAGTGTGTGGACAAAAGAACAGTACTGAAGATGGGAATGGGGTAGTTGCTGATCAGCAAGGCCTCAATCTTCCTCTTGATTCTGAAATTACTGATTCAGAATTGAGGCATTCTTGTAGTTCTGAAGGAGATGGGAAAAAGATTGTGGGTTCGGATCAGATTGCGAAAGAAGAGGTTGTGAAATCAGTGTTCTTGAATGAAAAAATGGTGGGTTCGGATGAGATTGTGGGTTCAGCAAAGACTGAAAATGGGAAAGGGGTAGTTACTGAGCAGCAAGACCTCAATAATCTTGTTCCTGAAATTGCTGAGAAAGAACAGATTGGTTCTGGTTCAGGGTCGAGTTTATGTTGTAGTGAAGGAGTTACAGATCAATATTTGAAGTTTGTAATGAGAGCAGTTGACGTGACATTAGGAGAGGCTGATGAATCCAATCAAGAATGGAGGAATTTCAAAGAGGCTATCATGAGAGCAGATCAGCTGGACCTAGAGTCTATTGGCCTAAAGATTGAACGTCGGGTGCAAGCTTCGGTTGAGGACGTGGTGAAAAGATATCCCCAGATGAATTCAATGACAATGTCTCTCTCTATAGGTGACGGCAAGAAAATTCTGGGGAGGAGAGATGTTTCTGGATTGGAAGCTGATCGAGCAGCTATGCTGAGAGAATCTGGAGAGCAAAGAAAGATGCAGGCATTAAAGGCCTATTCTGAGTCTCAACTTTCTGATATGGAAGGTAAACTTGGTGTTATTAAGGAAGCAGAAGTTGATAATGGGAAGACTATTGCTGAACTTGAAGAAGAAACAAAAACTGAAGTTGAGAAGGAAAACAGTGCAATTCATGAATTGCAGGAACTAGTTATTGTGGAAGAATCAAAATAGACTGAATTGAAAATGGAGATGCCATCAAAGGCCCCAGGCTGCTGATGTCTGCCGGTGTCGTAATAACTGCTATACTTCACACAGCATTGAAGATGAAGCGAAGGTAAAGGAGGAATATATGACAAAACTGCTCAGCAGTCCTCTTGTATTGTGTAGCCATAGGTCATGTAGGGTTTTTCTGTTTGTTATCCTCGAAGCTTTTGAGAGTACAGAAGTATACAGAGAGAATTTGCGGAGATGTGGTCATAGTTTGGATCATGTTTTAGTATCTGTTGTGTTTGGAATTGGTAAGCTCACTATGTCTTTAGCACAAAAATAGTGAGAAAGTGTATAGAACCCTAGATTCAATGTGAAGATTTGAAACAAATAAAAATCATGTCTTTCTTTTTTTGGGGAGTTTTGCATGTTTTGATAGTATTTCGCTAGTTGTTTTTCCTTTTTCTTTGATTAGTGGTGATGGGGAATTCGGACTTGAGATGTCTTCCAACTAATTACTAGTTGGTACGTTTGCTACTTCTTCTAAGCAAACAAATTGTATCTCTAAATGCATGGTCATTGTGTGCTGGTTCTGTTTATATGCGTAAAAATGTTTGGTAGCCCTTCGTTATGCCAATCTCCTTGCATGTTTAGGAGCTTTCCAATTCAAACGAGGTTTTGACATACCAACTTAGCTGTACTCATCTCATGTTCATGCCACTTAGGGCATGAAAGTAATACATAGAGGCACAACAACCAAAGTGACACAGCACCTAACCCACGAAAGTAATAGCCCAGCTTAGCCGACAATAGACTTAAGCCCAATGGACCAAATTCATGGGGCCTAAACCCTTGGACCTATTGACTTTGAAACCAATATGAAGTAGTAGTCATATGCTTTGCCAAATGTGATGTGAGGCTATAAATTAATGCCAGAAAAGATCAATGTAACTTATCCTATGTAGCCTGCAAAAAGAAACGAAAAAAAAAGTTTGATGCTCATGACCGTCATGTCCTCCTCCACTTCCTCTTCTTCAGTTGCTAGCACTGCTGCTACAAATGTCGTTTTTGAGATTGGAAAATACAAGGTGGTGCTCCAAAGAGCTGAACCAGAGACTACATGCAGCACCAAGTCCTCAAATATTCCAGTTCCACCTCCAAAGCCTCTTCTGATTGGCATGCCTTGTGAAGCTGGAGAATTCCCTCTCTTGCTGCTCCTCCATGGTTACCTTCTCTCCAACTCTTTCTACTCTCAGCTTATCCAACACATCGCTTCTCATGGCTTCATTGTCGTTGCCCCTCAGGCTAGGCTCTCTCTCTCTCTCTCTCACTTAGATGCACATTTATAAATTGTAATTATACATATATGACTCAGAATTTTTCATATCTCTCTTTGATAATCAATTAAACAGTATGGTGATGGTGGTCTTATTATTGTTTTTATGTTCAAATCAATGACTTTCAATTTTGGTTTATCTCTTGTTAGCGTATATACTAACTTTCCATGGTTTCCAATTATCTTATTGGGTTTGGATATGAATTATTGTGACTTATCATTTGAAGAGATAGTCCACATATTGATATTCATGATCAAACATTATGTGAGTTCATGTTGCTTGTGTATTCCTTGAGGCTATCATCTGCAAGTTTTGCTTTAAGTTATTTTCAGTGATTGCCTTAGTCTGCAAGGTTAATGGTGTATATGTCCACATCTAACAGAGGCTTGTGCTGTCTTGTTGGGCACCAACCAAGTTTTCAAGTAACAAAAGCAAAATATGTGAGTCACTGAGCTTTCATTTTCAGTGCTTGACAAAATGGCATGTTTTGATTGGCATTGCATGAACTGAAAATACCCAAGTGGCTCAGTCCTTATCAGATATGCTTGGGGTCTAAATACTGACCCTTCTTGTTTTTTGCCAGTGAGTCTATTTCAAGTCTGAGATTCCTTTTCCTTAACAATATACTAGAAGTGGCTGAGTTGAGAGAACAACTCTCATTCACATTGAGATGCTGTACATATAACATGAAAGACTAAAATTTCCAGTTTGGCTTGTATTTTTGTGCTGATATTGTGCTTCTTAAAATTAAACTACAGAGATTGGAGCAGACATTAATATTACTGTACCTTTATAAAAAGCTAGATGTATAAATAAAATTGCCTCTAACTCTGCCTTATTGATAAGCAAATGTTCTATGTGTTCAACAGTTATATACAATAGCTGGACCAGATTCAACAGGTGAGATCAAGTCTACAGCGGCAATAACAAATTGGTTATCTGAAGGACTTCAGTTCTTGCTTCCACCCCATGTTCAGGCAAATCTAAGCAAGCTAGCACTTGCCGGCCACAGCCGTGGAGGCAAAGTCTCTTTTGCACTAGCATTCGGGCAAGAAGGAAACACTAATCGAAAGTTTTCAGCCTTAATAGGCATTGACCCAGTTGATGGAATGGACAAAGGGAAACAAACCCCTCCACCAGTACTAACCTATGTTCCTCATTCATTTGATCTTGATATGGCAGTGATGGTGATTGGTTCTGGTTTGGGTGAGGTGAAAAGGAACCCTCTGTTCCCTCCTTGTGCTCCAAAAGGTGTTAACCATGAGGACTTCTTCAACGAATGCCAAAAACCAGCATGTTATTTTGTGGCAAAGGATTATGGTCATCTTGATATGCTGGATGATGAAACCAAGGGGATCAGAGGGAAATCTACATACTGTGTGTGCAAAAATGGAAAGTCAAGGGAACCCATGAGGAAGTTTGTTGGAGGGGTTGTGGTTGCATTCCTTCAAGCTTATTTAGAAGGTGATAGTAGCCACTTAACGGCTATAAAAGATGGGCTTGATGAGACTGTGCCAGTAGAGCTTCAAATTGTTAAATTTAATTTATGAAGTTTAGGAGCTGTGTTCAAAAAGCAATAGAAAAAGATTAAGCTGTAGTTTCCCAAAACAAACTTAATTTCTTTATATATGTTACTTGCTCAGTTTGCTCCATTATAAATCTCACACGGAAGCTTCAATTAAGTAATTATATTTAGCTTTCTGAATTTGAAAGTAATGCAAAGACCATTGTAAAATCTTTGATTTTTTTAGTACAAGCCATAGTTTAAACTACAAGGGATGAGGATTTCTCACACACACACACACAACTATAATGTCATGAGGATTCGCACCTGAGTTTCCGGTTGGCAAGTCAAGACTCTTTTTCACTGTGCTAGATCCTGTTGGCCACTGTAAAATCTTATGATGCACCAGAAACTATTTGCTCTGCAAAAGAGTTTGTTGGATTTTCACAAAAACTAATGGATTATTTTGTTAAGCCCAAAAACTAAAAGTTCCTTAGAAACATGGTGAAGGCCTGGCCCAATACCATTATATAAAGATGATGGGGCTTGAATTTTGAAATGAGAAAACTTTAAAGAAAAAATAAAAAATAAAAAACCCAACGCACGCACCCTCCTCCTCCCTTTCTCTCAGCTCGCCGCCTCTCTCACCTCCACCTAGCAGCCATTCTCCCTGCCCACCCCATCGTCTTTTTCGATTCTTTTAGAAATTATAGTTGAGAAAATACTGAGGTAGTTGCAGCCTGCAGGGATACAAAGGCCTTCGATTTCATAGCAGTTGTTGTTGTTGGCATTCTGGCTCTGAAAATACTGAAACACAGTTGTTTTAGTGTTATAGAAGTTGGGTTTTTTTGGTGTCTAATGATTGTCTTCTCTGAATCGGTGAGTTCCGCTATTATCCAAGTTTACTAAGAAAATTTCTTTACTTTTTGTTTAAAAAACTTTGGCTTATGACTTCCTGCATCTGCTGGGGGTTGATTTTGGGTCCTGTTTGGTAGCTGAGAAATCTCGGGAAAACGAAAAATTAAGTGGGAATTTTGATGGACTTGGTTTTGAAAAGGCTGTTGTAAAATTCCATTTCTTCGTCTTTAGTTTTTCTCAGCAACCAAAAGTCTGCAATGGTTCAGTCGCTTCATTCTTGTTACTTCTTATTTTTCTGGTGGTCTTTCAATAGCTTTCTAATTTCTTATTGCCGTTTGAAATTATATAAACTTTGTTTGAGCATTGCAACTAGGATAATTTGTGCTTACTCATGTACACGTCGAGTGGTAATTTCTCTTGGAACTTTGGGGTACATTTATTGTCTGTTCATTGTGGAGCTTTTGAATTTCTCTTGGTCCAAGTTAGAATGGGTTTTAAAAGTTTTTTTTCTTTAAGCGTAATTAAAGGCCCTTATTATTTTCTTTTGAGCAGTATCTACTGTTTGCTTGCTGTCAGGATATTTTTGCAAGTTTGAATTTTTACATGGCAAATATTGTTTGCTTTGCTTGCAAGGTCCCTTTACCAGACAGATATGTATTGTTTGCTTACTGTCCTTAGGAACATGGATCCCCTTTTCTAATGTTGCTCTTTGAATGGAAAGTTCTCTCAGGTTTTTTGTAATCCAACTTTTCCCCTTGAAAAAAGATGTTTTGGTTTCTTTACAGAATATAAATATTCATTGGGTAGGGTGTAAAATATCAGACTTTAAAAGCACAATAATCTGCACCCGGATAGTACTTTGATATTGGGCTTCAATACTATAGTCATGCTATCAAACTAGGCATTCGTATTCTCTTTCATGGATATAGTACACTTATGAATCATAATCTTTTTGGTAGCACACAAATGTGCTTAATCCATCTTCTCTATATGAATTTTTTCCTAATAACGTTATTGATTACTTAATTTTAGTTTGTTCTATGTTATAGGTCTTCTGCTGAAATAGATTAAAACAGAGAACCGTCTGACTCGTTGTGGGTATCAAAACACTCTGTTATTAAACAGTTTTTTATCGTTCTGAAGCTCTGATTTTTAGTGGGATGAAGATGTATGTCTTAAACTTTTATTTTTGGTATTCATTCCTATTGCTTTTACTTATTTCTGATGAGATAATTTTATATAAATGTCTGTTTTCAGTCTTTCTAGACAATTCTTCTTTATTTATTTTTCTAATGTTGGGGATGTTATAAATTCCAATTTTTTTGCAGAGTACAGGCTAATTCCGGTGTGCTTACTAATTTCGACGTGCTTAAATTTCTAGAATCTCGAGGGGCTTCTGAAGATTCAGCACGGGTTTTTTCTGACGTAACGCCATCAGAAAATAAGGTTGTAGTGGTGTTTATGTTTCCACCACCGACATTTTGTTTTTAACTCAACCTTGTTGTGAAGATTGATGTATTGTTTATTTTCCTTGTTTAGGTTTATGATTATTTGTTTGGGACTCCTGCTCGTGGTCAAACAACGGAGAATATCAATGAGTTCAAGGAAAAGTGTAAGAAGTATGACCTTGCGGAAGCTGAGGTGCTCAATATCATCAACACTAGGCCATCTAGCATTGTTGGAATCTACCCGGTTTGTTATAACTACTTTTTATTGTTAATCTGTTTCTGTTGTGGCTTATTGATTTTATTAATGACTGTGATGCATGTGTCTTTATAGTTTCAGTTTCTTTTAAATTTATGATTGTGTACATTACCGTGTTTGCTGGTGATGTTTTGTGTATTGGGTTTATGGGATCATGCAGTTTATGCAACAAATTTGTTTGTGTTTGTACCCTGCATTGTGGGTGGGTTTGGAACCGTATTAAATTGGGATAGGAAAAAAAAACTATATGTACTATATTTTGCGTAGAGAATAATGATGAGTGATGAGGAGCACAATGCTGGATTTTTAGTACTTGACCGTGGATTTACTGATTCACATTACTCTCTAGTATGATAGAACATTGGCGTAGTACCATGTTTTCTTTCCCTTCTCTGTAGCCAATATATTTCTTTGTTTTTCTGTAACTTGTGATATCAGAAAATGATCAACTCTGCCTGATATTCCCCTAATTATCATTATTAACATGACATTGGCAATTAAGGTTGAACCTGTCAGAAGTCGGGATCATAAACAAAGTTACCTTATTCTGTAACTTAATAATTGACAAGGTTTATGGACTGCCTAAATTTCTAATGTCTGTCTATAAGGAATCGTTTTGCTTCCCAAATGGTAGAATGGTCTTGTGTGTCCTTTTGTTTTATATGCTGAGAGAGTCAGATTTCAGCTCTCGCTGGATTAACATGTGTTTGGTGCATACACAATATCTTCGTTCATGTAAACATAATAATATAATAATCCTCAAGAATATGATTGCATTAAGATTTTGCGTCTGGATGGAGGTATTTTATCTTGATCTTACTGTGTGCAATGACCAAGGGTCACATTGTCTCTATACCAAGGCTCCTAATATGATTTTCCTACTTGTAAATGGAGAGAAAATATTGTAACGTTCCTGGTTTGTTCTAATTTCTAGAACATGTCAACTCATTTGCAGATTTGCGCTGTTATTTAATTTTTTGTTTTTGATGTATCACAGCTTATCGAGAATTGTGACTTGCGTTTAGGAGATACTGTTGAAGAGCTGGTAGAATTGGTAGTAGAGGTGTTTCCACCTCATCCTCCAGCAATGACTGTCGAAAATGATGCAAAAACCACAAATGTGGAAAAAATTGAA